GGTCATAAACCAGTTGCCATAGCAATGGTCATGAACCAGTTGCCAAGCATCTGAATTTTGATCACATGATCATGGGGATGCTGAAAGGTCATAACTGAAAAAGGTCATAAGTCACATTTTTCAGTGCTGTTGTAACTTTGAACGGTTACTAAATGAACTGTTGTAAGTCGAAGACTACCTGTAGATGTCCCCTACTAGCTCTAAATACTATATTAGTTCTAAATATCTTTCAGCACTAAAGTATTATCTTTCTAGATACCCCATAAGCGATGCAACTTTAATTCCTGTCAAAATTAAATGACCCAAACATTTTAATATTTCTCAAAGACCCAAAGCAAGCATTTCCTTCCCATGTAAAAAATCAAGCAAAGAATTTATCAGAAGGAATTGATGCAGTTCTGTCTGAGTGACACACTCATTCAATCATTTTCCCCCAAATATTTCTGCATGAAAAAACATTTTTATAAAGAAGAGATCTATTAGATAGAAAAACAAGCAGCCTTATTGACAATGCTAAAAACTCGTTTAGTACAACGTGCCTCTGAAAACACAGATTTCTTTTTTTTTTCCAAAAGTATGCACAGAGACAAAGCAAAGGAGCCTGAACTTTACTACTGGAAATTAAAAGCTTCATCCCAGTAGTACTTATGTCAACAGTCCATTATGGTACAACATACTTGATATGTTGGTCTATAAATAATACAAATAACAGTTCTTACACAACAGTCACTTTTATTTACCCATGGAAAGACTTTTCATTGCAAAAATCTCTTTAAATCCCTCCTTCAGTAGCAGAAATTTGTTGGGGGAGGAAATACTATTGAACTAACTGTTTCTTCCTTTTGAGGATACTCTGGAGAGCACAGCTGAGAGATTATTTTTCCCTTTTTTAGCCTGGGATAGTATGGTGGGAACAATATACTTTTGGTAACTTAATCCATCACTACTTTGTGAGTTTGGGTTTTTACCAACATGCAAACTGGACCAAAGAATAATAACACAATAAGGGTAGTCCTTGATTTACGACCAGAACTGAGCCCAAAATTTGTGGTGGTTAAGTGAGGCTTTTGTTAAGTGAATTATGTCCCATTTTACAACCTTTCTTGCCACAAGTTGTTAAGTGAATCACTGCAGTTGATCAGTTAGCAATCCGGTTGTTAAGTGAAACTGCCTTTCCCATTGACTTGGCTTGTTGGAAGGTTGTCAAAATGTGATCACATGACCCTGGAACACTGCAATGGTCATAAGTATGAACCACTTGCCAAGCATCTGAATTTTGATCACATGATCATGTAAAGGTTGTAACTGTAAAAAACTTTTTTGTAACTTTGAACTTTGTAAATGAACTGTTGTAAGTAAAAGACTACCTGTTGTTTCACTATAACAAGATTTTTGGTTTCTTGCTGTGTTTTCCTAGGAGAATGGGGCACTTGGGCAAAAAGTATCTATTGCATGCACAAAAAAAATAGATATCCTAAATATCTTCATGAATTTTCATGAATTTTCAGATTGACATCCATATGTAATCTTATTTAAGAATTGGCATTCTTTATTAAAAATGTTTTAAAATTTTACAATACAAACTCAGTTGAATTCATTTGACAAAAGGAGGTCTGGAATGCTTTCACATCTCCATATGAAGTAAAGGGTACTTTCAAAGTCAAGATCCATTCAATGCAGCTTGTGTTTTAGTAATGAGTCAAGGTTCTCCCTTAACTTCAAAGTGATTCACTTTGTTATATATTTGTCTGTCTGTCTGTCTGTCTGTCTGTCTGTCTGTCTGTCTGTCTGTCATCTATCTATTTCTGTCCAATTTCTTTACCTTTTTTCTGAAGAACCCTGATGAGGTCTTTATCAAGGAGCCTGTAAAGCGGGTTAGGAGTTTATCTTGATAACTGATCATTAATCAAGATGAATACCCATTCATTTCAGCCTTGATTTGCATCCAGTTATATGAAGGAGACAGCTTTAGTCATCTTGATGGATCTGTGCTGGGAACTAGACAAGGAGAATGTAATTCTGTTTTAAGTTTGGCTGGATTTCTTAGTCCTTAACCAATAGAATTCTATTGGTTCATCCTTCTGAAAAGAAACCGAATAATATTTTGCTGCATTTCCCCAAAGGCAGTTTCAGAAGGTAATGTTGAATAGATTCTATTTGCACATTGACCACTACTATATAGTATCCCATAAGGTGCTAGTATGCTTCCATGTAACAGAATATCAGCATGAAACTTGGGAAAGTTCGTATGCTTTGTTTTCAGTATTTTTTATTAAAAATTAGAGAAAAATCAGCCTAGCTCAAAATTCCTGGACACTCTACTTTATGTAAGGCCACCTCCACTAACTGGATGTTTTCGAAATGTGTTGGGTTTCAATCCCTCTCATCCCCAACCACAGTGACCTTTGATATCCTCCTAGAGAGTGGCAAGCTAGAAAGTGTGACCTGAGATAAACATGCTCATGAAACCCAGTTAGTAGGTATGTTCTTTTTCAACACTTGCATTTGTTTTATTTACAAGATACATTCAATTGGCATACCTGAATAAGCACAGAACCAGCAGTGGTATGTCTGATAAATTTAATTAAACTTTACACCTGGGTTGAATGTAAACTCAGCAATAATGTCTATAAATAAATCTGGTCTCTGAAGATCTGTCCAATCTTACTTTTTAAGCATTCTATCTCATTGTTCCATGGCATGTGCCATTTTTCAAATAAAAAATAAGCTGTTTTAATGCAAAGGATTAAGTTTTTTTTTTCTTGCACAGCAGTAAATTAACTTACACCTCACTGCCTCTATTCATTTTTTTTTTTTATTTGCTTTGTAATTACAGCAAGACAGCTTATGGTCAGATATCTTTTTAGCTAATAAAACAGCAAGACACCGTTCAAAGATAAAGTTATCATAGGATAAATTCATCTTATCCTTATTTAAACCCACTAAAGTTTCAATGGAGAAGTAGACTGCTAAAAACATATTAGAGAATATATTCTATAAAAGACAGAAAGAAGAAAAATAGAAACATTGTATAACACCTACATAGCAGTTGCCTCAACCACTTCAAACGATTGATAAATATTTGGTATTTTCACTATTGCTTGTTATCATTTGAAATTATTCACTGAACAGAATTTGCTTTTGCTTATTTAAGCCTGTCTCTTTTGATTTCCAAGTTAGAAATGTTTGAAAAAGCTTTTACTTTCTTCTAAACTACCAGCTTTATGCGCTTTTGTAGATACAGATTTAAAGGCTGATATTTGTCATCAGTATACAGCAAGTATGTCAAACTCAAGGCCCGGGGGCCAGATCCAGCTTGTGGGGTGCTTAGATCTGGCCCACAGGGCCATCCTGGAAACAGTGAAGGACTGGTCCATGGTGCCTCTGCCAGCGAAAACAGGGCTCGGGAGGATTGCGGGAGGCCTTCCTGAGCTCCGTTTTTGCTGGCACAGGGTTGCAGAAGGCTGTTGCAGCCGAAAATGGAGCTTGGGAGCCAGTTTTCTCTGGGAAAGTGCTTGGACCACCACAGGTGCCCCTGACACAAGTGATGTCGAGCTGGCCCACCTATCTGACCACACCCACTCCGGCCCCCAAAGGTCAAACACAACCCTGATGTGGTCCTCAATGAAATCGAGTTTGACACCCCTGGTATACAGCAACCAAATTAAGGGAAAGGATATGCAAATGAAAACTGATCAAATTGAAACATTTTGGACAAGGTGTTTTGGACAGGTGAAACAAAATTTGAACTGTTTGATCACAACTACACAAGATACATTGAGAGAGAAAAAGGTGAAATTTTAAAAAAGAGTACCTTGCTAATTGTTAAGCATGAAGATATTTTGGGGTTACATGGCAGCCTGTGGCAGAGAAAATATTGTGTGAGGGGAAGGGAAGAATATCAGTTTATCCTTGAAGTTAATGTCCTAATCCAGTGAAGAAATTAAAATTGAAAACTATTTCAACCTTAAAATAGTTGCAGGAAAGGGAAAAAAATGTTTTGGAATGGTCTTCACAGCCCCAGATTTCAATGTCACCGAGACCTCAAATATTCAATGGAATGCAAGAAGACCTAAGAATATTTCTGATCTGGAAGAATTTGCAAGGAAAAGGGGGAGAAACAATGATAAGCAAGAATAGAAAAATTCTTATTGTGCTACAGGAAATGTTTGGAGGTTGTACGAAGTACTGAAAGGTCATTCATAATTTGGTATTTGCCGTATTCACTATTTTATTTAAATTATGTAAACAACTGTACATAAATAGAAATTTACAGAAATCTGTTTAACTTTATACCATGTAGTAACTGTGTTAGCATCTGTTTTCTTAGGGTTTTCTTGAAACACACAACTTGATAAAAGTGTGCTATATTTTTATAGTTAACGGAATATCTGGGTGTTCTTTTGAGCAGATTTCATGAAGCTTTTAGCTCATAAAATTCTGACTCTGAAGTGTTTAAAAAACCCTCAATTTTCTGCTGAAATTAGTTTGATTTGTCTGTGTTATGTGTGTTTGTGTGTGCACATTATGGGATTACAATAGTGATAAGTAGGTTCCTTTTTTTCCATAGGCAGTTCTGTTACTTGATTCCAACTTTCCCAGGACATCAACTGTTGATTTTCTAATTCAAGAAGAAAAGCTTTAAATAATAATGAAACTATATTTCCCTTAGCAGTAGCTTTTATAGGATCTGCAATTGCTTATTGCATAAAGCCATAGACATGGTATAGATGATCATATCAAATATTTATGTGACTTCTGCATTAGTGATCAATGCACTTTGCTTGTAGAAGAGGTGGAAAAATCACACTTTTCCTTGGGAAGATGTCTTAAATTACTATGAAGTAGAATATAGTTTGAGAGTACTCCACACCCTCTATTTAACACTTGTATCTCTCTGTTAGAATATGGAAAAGGTACCTGTTTCTCTTCGCAGTGAATACATTCACCCCCACCCCTTTATTTATTGCTAAGAACTTCCTGATTGTTTCTTATTCAAGGGACCTGAAACTGGACAATATTCTTTTGGATGCAGAAGGTCATTGCAAACTGGCTGACTTTGGCATGTGCAAGGAAGGAATCTTGAATGGAGTAACAACTACTACCTTTTGTGGAACACCAGACTACATAGCTCCAGAGGTATAATAATATGCATTGAAGTGTCTAGAACTCTATTTTTGTGGTGCTATCTTACTTATCCCTCGATGAAAAACTGAAACCAAATTCTTTCTATGTAATCCTATTTAGGATTGAGTATGCTGATGACTGTAGTACATCACAATAGGAACTTGGTTAAAAAAATAGGATTAATGTGTGCTTGCCATACAAATTTTCCAGTACCATTCAGAAAAACAATTCCATGTTGTGAAACACATAAAACACAGGAAAAACTCTGTTGGAACAGAATGAAGGTCTATCTCTTCTAGTATATTTTTCATATTGCAGCCAACAACAGTAAAGTTTACAACCATGACAGGAGTTTAATAGCAGACGTCTGCATCTGAAGACAGGAGTAACCCATAAGAATCAGTGACTTTTCAATCTTTTTTTTTTCACATGAATTTGCTAGCTTCCTTTGGAGTAGAATTAAGTGATGTCCATCATCAGATTTAATCATATCACCTGATAGGAACTTCTGTAAGTTAACAGTTTCCTAAGTGAAGAACTGCCTTTTCGTTTCTCGTGTAAATCTACTTTCATTCAGCTTCATTGATAGACACTAAGTTTAGTATATTATGAATATACTGGATGGGTAGAATAGCGTTCTCACTGATAAACAATGGGCAGAAATTGTGTCACACTGAAACTTTTTGAAAGAATTTATAGGTTTTAATTTAAGGTCCAAGTGTGTTTCATTGAAACTGGCTTTTAAAAATAATTTCATATAATCATGGAACAACAGAGTTGGAAGGGACCTTGGAGGTCTTTTAGCCCAACCCCCTGGTTGAGCAGGACTCTATACCATTCCAGGAAAATGGTTGTTCAGTCTTTTCTTGAAAACCTCCAGTGATACAACACCCACAACTTCTAGACACAAGCGTTCCATTGATTAGTTGTTCTGATTGTCAGGAAATTTCTTAATTCTAGGTTAGATCTCCCTTTAATATCTTCCACCTGTTACTTCTTAACCTGCCCTCAGGTGCTTTGGAGAATAGATTAACTCCCTCTTCTCTATGACAGCCCCTCAAGTATTGGAAGACTACTATCATGTCACCCCTAGTCCTTCTCTTCATTAGACTAGGCATACTTAGTTCCCACAACCATTCTTCATATAGTTTAGCCTCCAGAACCCTAATCATCTTTGTTGCTCTTCTGTGCATTCTTTCTTCTTCAAAAGCAGGCAATATAAATTGTTCATATTGTGCATTTTTATCCATTGATTTCCCTCTTTTTCTTGATTTCTCCTAACAGATCCTCCAGGAATTAGAATATGGTCCTTCTGTAGACTGGTGGGCACTGGGGGTTCTCATGTATGAAATGATGGCTGGACAACCTCCCTTTGAAGCTGATAATGAAGATGACCTCTTTGAGTCTATCCTACATGATGATGTGCTATATCCAGTATGGCTTAGCAAAGAAGCTGTCAGCATTTTGAAAGCGGTAAGATTATCTATTTTTCTTTTTAAATTTGAGTTTTCCTAGAACACTTGAGAAGCAGCCACCGCTGGGAGTTCAACTACAGTTCAGAGTGCCATTGTCAGTATACAGGGGTCTGGGATGAATTAAACTTCTTGTGGGAAAGAGACTAAATGTTTGTGTTCTTTGCATCTGTATATCTGTATACATGCCTGCACTTGAGAATCATGTTTCAGGAAGAACCAAAAACACCAGCAAACTGAAGTGCCTTGTCAAGCTGAATACTCAGATTGTATAGTTGGCTAAAATGAAGACATAGTTATGCAACTGAGGATGCAAGTTCCACACAGATGGGCCTCAATCCAAAAGATACTTAACAAAATGACATCCTGATCCATCACCATGCTGACTTAAAAGTCAACTGATTTCTCTGGGAGATGATCCTGTATTTCTGACCCCCACAGCTTCTGTGCAAATGTCAGTTAGAATTTATTGGTTAGTATTGAAAGACCATTCTTCATATTGAAAAATGAAAAATGGTGGCAAAATAAGGGTGAAGTTAGTTTCAATACATTTCATATCTTTATTTTAAGATGAGCCGGTTCTACAAGGGAATTATGTTCAATGGATCAGTTCCTAACCAAAAGTTACTTCCTAGTTAATTCCCTGAAATAGGTAACACTGTACTTTGCTCAAAACAAAATATCGTAACAGTCATATATATACATTTAACTGTTCTCATACTGTTCCTTACGCTGCCAAAACAACTCTGACTGTGCACAAGGAGGAAAGATTAGCAAGCTAGTGAGACCTGTTTAGGAAAAATAAATTATTAGGGGCAATTCTCCCCAAAGCAGTTAAAAAATGCTTTATGTGGAATGGGAACTCAGACTGAGGATGGGAATGTAACCATATCAGTTTCCTGAGAGTTTAGACTTTGAATGTTTATACTCTGATATATAAAAAATAATAAAAACCATTTTTAAAAAGTGTAGTCTGGAAAATCTAAAACCTTGCTGCAAACCTGATGTTTCTCCTTGAACACAAAGCGAGAAAAGTTCCTATTTAAAACCCTACAAAAGTCAGACAATCCAAGCATTGTCATAGAGATATTTCATGCAAACTAGCTGGTCTTCCAAGGAAATTCCAGTAAAACTATGCCCATGGTATAGAGTCCAATCAGCCTAGAGAATCTTGGAGGAACCTATTGGGAGGTAAAGACTATGTGGAGTAGAATTTGAAATAGCTTTAGTTTCCTTAATTGCATGATAGGTAAGATTAGCCCTCATTAGCCCTTCTTAGTGAATTTCACTGACACATTGAGGAGAAAGGGATGAGCATGCTTGTTTCATCATCCTCATGCTGTCCTCCATATGCAGATAGTGAATTCCTAGAAGGTTGAACCCTTTGCTAACTATAGAACAGAGGTCTTCAAACTACGGGCTGTGGGCCGAATATGGCCGGCCAAAGCCATTAATACGGCCCATGCAGGACCATGAGGCTGCCCTGCCCACATCACCCCACCTACTCGCCAGCCCCCAGTTGCCTTCCGGAAGCCGAGGAGGCCAAAAATGAACCCCAGCCTCCAGAGAGAGAGAGAGAGAGAGAGAGAGAGAGAGAGAGAGAGAGAGAGAAAGGGAAGGAGGGAGGAAGAGAGGAAGACACACACACACATACACACAAACAGAAGTCCCTCACGTCCCCCACTCCCACCCCCCACAAGGCAGCCACAACCCTTCACTAACCTGCTTTCCACCCCCAGGAGCATAACAAATTAAAATTAAATTTGTGTGTATTGTTTAATGGACTGTTAAATTGGCCACACCCACTCAGTCACATGACCGCCTAGCCATGCCCGCCCAGTCACATGACCGCCCAGCCATGCCCACCCAGCCAGTCTGGCCCCCCAATAGTCTAAGAGACTGTGAATTGGCCCCCTGTTTAAAATGTTTGAGGACCCCTGCTATAGAAGGTCTCTGGGAGAGGAAGACTCTGGGGAATTGGGATCCTCAATGACATAGAGATCTATTGATAGAGGAAGGTCTCCTCTGTAACATTTATGGAAGCAATAAGAAGGCTTATCCATACAGTCATTTTAAAACATATAGATTGTTACCGGGTTTCTTACTCTGAAAAGAAATAATGTGAGGCCTTTTCCCACCCACCATGCAAACAGCATCTTACAACAGAAAGAAAACTCTGGGGTGAGTTTTAGGCTTAGATTAATGTTTGAAGCTTGGGTTGTTCATCTTGTTCTTTAGAAATATGAATTAACCAAAGAGCAGGAAAAACAGAGGAAATGGAGGGGCGTCTATGTACTTGACTGCCGAATATTAACAAGGGATTAGCTTTGGAACGCTTTGTTTCCTTACATTGTACTGTTAGATGAGGGCTTTGTTCTTCAGGCACCTTAAATTGGAATCCTGTTAAAAGTATTTTGAATAGCTTTGGCAGAATGGTTTTTGGTTTCTACACAATTTTATTTATTTTATTGCACTATTATGTTGCAATTTGTTTACAGTTTCCAAACAAAAAATATCCAAAACTGAAGATATTTTGAAACTTGGGGAGGGTGGCAGAAACAACAGTGGGAAATCTGGGGTTTAATTTCTCTGAACTGATCTTCAGTGCTGGGACACTGGAGATCCTATTAATTTCTGAGGTTTTGTGAAAGACACCGCTCTGAATTTTTAGAATGTTTACACATCTTATGACTTTGTGGAATTCAAAAACCCTTTTTACTTTTTTAAAGCTTAATATTAGTTCTCTTGAAAATAAGACAAAATGAGAAATAAAGGAGCCTTAGTTTGGCAGTGGAAAATATACTTTGCATTCCAAAAAAACGTAGGTTCAGTTGTCTTCTTTTCTGATTAAAGGAAATCTGTATTACAGGTTTTATGAGAGGTCTTGGCAAGTGAGATGCATAAGCTGCCCTATCGCCTTTCTTGCAGCATTCAGAGACCACTAAGATTGTACCACTGAAATTTGCTGGCAAACAACCAAACATTAGTGTAATTTCCCATCAAGTACTGGAGGAAGTTTTTTTTTAAAAAAAAATTAAGAATATTAATTGGATTGGTTTAATTTATCTCGAGAGTAGGAGGGGAACAAAAAGCCTTTCATAAGTGGGAAGAAAGACTGTGAATTTTATCCAACAATGTTATTGCACCAATAACCTTAGCTCCTTTCTTCTTAAAAAAAAAAAAGTTCAGTCCTCCCCTCCCAAAGAGTGTCCACACCAGTTCATATACTTGTGGTGTATATAATGAGTTGATAAATCATTGTGATAATGAAAAATGTTTTGAGATTTTTGCTCTTATCACTGAATACTTTAAATAAGAAATTGACCTTCCTAAGCCTTATGAAACTCTTTAAAGCATCCTGTTCTAGATCCCTCAATAATATGCTCTATATCAGCGGTCACCAACTGGTGGTCTATGGACCACTAGTGGTCCGCGAGAAAATTTTGATGGTCCGCAGAAAAAATATTTGCATTTTTTTATATTACACTAAATCAGGGGTCCTCAAACATCTTAACTTTAGTGCCATTTTTAAAGCATCATCAATTTTTTTTCATGCTCATAAAAAAACATGAAAAACATGTATCTGATGTAATGAATAGCAGAAAAAACAGAAAACAAAATAACAGAGTTGGAAGGCACTCTGGTGGGTTTGGTGTTACCACTGGTTCGCATCATGCATGCACTTCACCTTTATTCATTGTGAGCCTTAGCTTTCCTCACTTCATCTTTGCAGGCTCGGGCTATTTGCTGATATTCTGCCTTAGTTATGTGCTGCTCTTGTGCAGGCGCTGTATAGATGTAACATCTTTTTCTTGAAGATATTTTTTATCTGTAAATAATTATTTGCCAGATCACATGGAAATAGACAGGATTTCAGTTACCTCTTTAATATACAGTATAGTTAGTGTGTGATCTGTTTGACATTTTAAGGTTTAAAAAGCACAATACACTAAGAATAAAACTCTGAATAGGTATTTCTTCTGTGCTCCAGCACTTTATATTCCCATGTCACATGTGAATTTTGCTTTATCTCTGTCCCTATAAGAAGTGCTAGATGTAAGCATAGTATGTTCTATCAGCCATACCACACATTAAAAAATAATCATTTCACTGTCCTGGCCATTCCATGATTTTCTATTTCTTTATTTCAAGGGGATGATGAATGCTAACCAAGCTTGTAGTTAGGGTTCATTCCTCTAAGGATTCTGCTCTTCAGTCCTGCTTCTCTTCTGTTCATGTTATTGACAGCAGCTTTTTCATTTCAATCCCGTTTAGGTCAAGCACATTTTGTGCTGATTAAAATGTATTTGTGTTAATTGAAAAATAGTCTGTTTTTTCCCCCCACTACAATACCTGTTAATGTTTTTTGGTTCTACTGTGGTTTCTGGTTTTGAGTCTTCATACCCATCTTCTTGAACCATCAAATTTGTTACACCCAGATATACTGTATCTCTGCCCCAGTTTTAGATGGCATAGTATGTTCTTTTGTGAATAGCTCGGCTTGGATTTCACCATCTCAATTAAAAGAAAATACAAGAGGTCGCTTGTTTTATTTGGATGGTCCTGTTCTACCTTTGTCTATTCCTTTGCTATACATCTGTCAATTGTTTTCATTCTCAGTTATAAAACAATACACTCTCTGTGTACCCATAAATAAAGAGTAGTAAAATGGTGACATTCAGCTTTGAAATATTTAGTGAATCTGCCAATTCTTGTCTTCGAAAATTGTACAACATTTGGATCATAATCTAAACTATTATATTAGCCAAATGCACTTTTTTCTGACTCATTTGTATATTAAAATTTTACCCCTTGTATATAAATATGAATGCAATAAAAACACAGTGAAACATAACATTGATTTAAGTACATATTAATCTGATTTAAGAGTTGCCGTGATTTATTACTATATAATGTTTTGAAATGGTCTACCTCAGATCAGTAAAGACTACTGCAGTTACCATAGAATAATAACAGACAGTTCAAAACTCTACTGAGTTAGGAAAGGCATCAGAAAGACTAATGCAAATAGAATATTTTGCAAGATGTTTCTGCTTTTCCCAGAGTTTGTCTTGCTGTATCTTGCCACCTTATACAATTTTTCCACTATGTAACTGAAGTTGGTTATTTGTTTTCCATGCAGTTCATGACAAAAAACCCAAACAAACGTCTGGGCTGTGTGGCATCTCAGAACGGTGAAGATGCCATTAAACAGCATCCATTCTTCAAAGAAATTGACTGGGTTCTTCTAGAACAAAGGAAAATTAAGCCACCTTTCAAACCTCGGATTGTAAGTATTGATCTGAGTTGTGCAAGAGAACTTGGATAACATAAAAACTGGTTGACTACCTTTATGATAGTAAGGTTGCAGAAGTGGAATAGAACTGATAATATGGTCAATTTTTTGCCATACCAATGAAAGTGAATTAATTGTTTTCCTTAGAACTATGTGTCATACTTGTTAATGAAACACTGAATGTGAAAACAATCAAGAGCTTATGCTATCCTGTTTTTGAAAGTAAATCACAGAAAATATTGCCATTATCATTTGATAACCTTTATATCTAAAACCATTAATTTTGTGTTATGGAATGATAAGCTACCATGTTTTCTTGCTGCCATTTATTGTCACTGTAAACACAGCTAAGATAATCATGCTTCACATATTAAGCTAAATATGTGAAGGTACCCTCAGCATCCAAAACTCAGATTGGATATGTATTCTTTCATGTAATATCAATACCTGCATCAATTGGGAATCATATTTATGACTGCCATGCATTGTTTTGCTTAGATGCTAGATGCTGCACTCTTGTTTCAGATTGACTGAGACTGTTAAGTAACATTGCTAGTAACTCTGAATTCTTATTGTTGTATGTTGTTTATTTTTATTGCTGTATATTGGGTTTTTATTTTTTGTAAGCCACCCAGAGTCACTGTCAGTGAGCGGGCAGACATATATATTTTCTAAATAAATAAATTATAATTCTGTGAAAACTCAAGAAATTCAGTTTGGTGTAGTGATTAAAGCACTGGCCTAGAAACCCGGAGGCTGTGAGTTCCAATCCTGCCTTAGGCATGAAAGCAGACTGGGTGACTTTAGGCTGGTCACTGTCTCTCAGCCCAACTCACCGCACAGAATTTGTTGTTTTGGGGAAAACAGGAGGTGGAGGAAGTATTAGTATGTTCAACACCTTAAGTTACTTATAAAGCAATAAATGTGGATTATTATTTTTTTTAATCCCCTTGCTGTTTTTTCCTTAGTCCTGATTCACTGGAGAGTTGGCAGGTGCTATAATCTTTTCATATTCAAGATCCTAATATTGTTAATACATAGTATTGACAAAATGTATTTTATTTATTCAAAAGAATATATTTTCCAGTGATAAAGTTCATCAACAAATGTCCGATATCATTTTCCTAAAAAAGATCCCCAGTTATACTTTGTCTATGTAAGATCATCAGATAAGAAGTTACTTTCATGGCTGAGTGAACCATTCATAATATTTCTTATAAAGAGCTCTGTTTCATAGTTGTTGTTGTACTTAATGTCAATCTATGCACATCTGAAAGAGTTCTCACTGACAGATAAACAGCCATGAAATCTTGAATGATGAGAGATTAGAACATGTAGAACATATTCAAGTGGGGTCTCATTTCTGTTCCCTTGTCACAATTTGAATTATTGTCACTCAGTTCTAGCTCTCTATTGTAGGTTATATGTACGTGTTTGGAACATTGACTGGGGGTAGGGACTTATTGGGTTTTGTATTGAAGTTTTATTGGAAGCCACCCAGAATCACCAAGAGTGAGTTGAGTGGTCATATAAAATTTCTTAATTAATAAATAAATTGAGGCTATTTAATTTTAAGCCAATCTATTCATACTATTTAAATGTGGGAGTTTTTTAAGATTTCTTTTTTCTTCGGTGTTCACTAAAAGACTGACAAAAAATGAACATAAAAAACTTGCATTTCCTTGTATTGTTACCCTCTTTTCCTCTGAAGATGAAATATGCTACTTGCTGGCTTTTATGTGTGCATTATTTTATTATTTCTCCTTCACATTTTCTCATTCTTAGCCAAATTAATAATAGTCAAATACAGCACTGATTTCAAATTTGCAAGGAAAGAGAGAAGAAGTGGATAAACACAGATATGTGTTGTGCTTCTGTTTATACTTTTGTTGCTTCTCCAGCTAATAGCTGAAATAAAGTGTAGATGTTTTTGTAGGCAATTAAATTCTTCCATTAAGTTTTTACTCTCAGCATATACCATCAGGAGCTTCCACTGAACATCTCTGTGACTTAGGGATACTTGTCTAGGCTGAAGTCTAGATACTTGTGATGTCAAGGAGAATAATGAAGGGGAAGGGAGGTAATTCATAGGCCAATGGTATGTACTCATTGTTAAGGCTGAAATACAGGAGGGTGAATACAGATGAATCTGAATTCATTACTGAGATATTGGACTGCAAAATGAATTTTTAAAAACCTGTAGTATATTTCTTTGTAAAAATACCGATCAGCTTTTATGAAATCAAAGTACTTATTCATAGAGGCTCTTCAGGGATCTATTGCGCTAATTACTGCCTTCTATCCACTACTGCTAGATTAGCATGTTATGGTGTAAAATCACAGAATATTGCCCAGTGCACAAAGAAATTTGCCTTTCTACTACCAGATTCAACATTCCAAATTAATCTCCTGCCTGGAAATATAGCCAGAAAATTATTTTTTACCCTGTAAATAAGAACAACTCTACACAATTTGATTAAGGATGGCCAATTTACTTTAATTTTGTGTACATCACTTGTAAATATGTTCATTCATATCCCCATTCCATTACTGCTTTTTCATCAAACCTCATCAAACTCCAAAAGTATATGCATCTCTTTGGATAACTCGGTTGTTCAAAAAAAAAATTCAAAAGTGGACCTTGCAATTGCGGGGAAAATGCTAGGAAGAATATACAGATTAGTCCTCAACTCATGACCGCAATTGAGACCAAATCATCCATCGTAAATCATTGCAAATCAAATCAGACACGAATTTAGGATGGTTTTTATGATGGCCATTAAGCAAATCACCATAGGTGTTAAGCAAATCACATGGTCGTTAAACAAATCCAGCTTTGCCAATGGGTGTTTTTTGCCATTGCAACGGTCATAAGTGCAAGTACAGGTTGTAAATCACATTTTCCAAGGCCACCATAACTTTCAATAAATGAATAGTCATAAGTTAAGGACTACCTATATATGTGTGTGTGTTCGTTCATTCATATTCATTCAGTGACAGTTTGAAGTTGCAGCAGCATTGAATGAAGGACCTGCAACTGGTCCCTGAAGTTACAATCCTGGAACAACCTCTTCAGAGAACAGGGAGAAGCGCTTGTTACAGATGAAAATACCTAACCTGATATCTGTAAATATGTGTGCTTGTTTATATGTCATTGTGTGATGTCATTGTGTCACTTACCATTGGTTAGTACTTACCATTAGCCCCGCCTTCTCTGTATATAAGTTCTTGCTCCTCCCAGATTAGTGCCTGTCTAATTGTGTTCCTGAGGAAGAAAAGAAATAAATATTACTATTACAAGAAAGCCTACAGTCTCTTATATATGGGCCTAACCAGGATAACCAAACTAGCAACAGCGCTCTTAAGATCGTTTGCTTAAATGCAAGAAAGAAGGACAAGATATGCACCAGAGGGTTGTTTGGGTTTGTCAGAAAACTCTGACAAGAGACTTCCACTGAACTCCTTGAAATATAGATCATTTGAAATTTGAAATAAGACCTGAGGAGAACACTTCTTAATCAGACTTACTGTAAACTAACGAATATTTAGAGCAATCCTATCTGTGCCGTTTGAAAGGAAAAAGCAAATTTTACTAGAATTTACTTCCAAATAATCCTGCATAGACTTGCTGCCACGAAACCATGGCTTGATTCGAGCACAATCCTATAAATTTCTGATCAGCCTTTTTCAGCAAAATGTTGTGACCAACTAACATAGTGCAGTGTTTACAGATGATGGCACCTTCAGTTTTGCAAATGGAGAAATTCAGTGTAAAGCTTCCCCAAATTACCTCAGATGCTGCCAGAAGATAACACAACTTGCAGCCTTCCACTGGTTTTGGACTACAACTCTGAGATTTTCCAGCCAGCATCTCTTACCCCCAGCAGGGAAATCTTAGGATTTAAGTGCTGAATATGTTTATAGCAGTCCTTCGTAAATTGCTTCTTCACCCTACTCCACTACAATTGCCATCACTTCCCTCATGCTGGCTTGAAATGGTGGACATGCACCATGTCAGGAAAATTACAGGCAGGGAGATTAACCTGCATTCTGTGCATGAATTGTTATTTCCTCATTCTGCAAGTGATCTTGTATAAAAATATACATCCTTCTTGCTATATCAGAAAAAAAGTTTCCCTTCTTTTTTTCTTACTTATTTCAAAAGAGAAAGATTTTCAAGACATTCTTTCATGGTATCCTCTAAGATTTCCCTCCTTATTTCAGATTATTGAGGAAAGATGGTCAGGGATTTTTTTTCCCTTCCAAATAGGAGACTTTGTATTTCAGGGGTTCCTAAGGTTGTGATCATGAAGTACCCGGAAAAAAAGGCTGTGCTAAATGCTTGACAGCCTTTTTCCTCCAGCAATCTGTTTTTGCAGTCCTAGTGAGGCAATGAATTGTAAGAATATTAATTTCCTTGGTAAACCAATGCTTAATTTCTGCTTGAGAATCATGCATCCTATTCAAGACACTCAAGAGTCAGCTTCAATTGGAGCAGCTTATCAACTTTACAAAATAAATCATATCTAAGATAATATAAATAGTACTATCAGCTATTGATACTTTAGGAGTTACTAAGTGTACTTCTCAAATATTTTATTTTTAGCATTGAAAGATTAGAAAAGTTGTTCTTTGCCGTATGCAGTCATAAAATGCTCCTCTTTTGAAGCATAACCATAGCCTGTAATAATTGAAATCTGTGTGTGTGTGTGTGTTTTTTTTCTTTTTCATTCAAGTTTGGCCTCAAACACTATTGTAATCCATATTCTAATAACACGGGTAATGTGTTAGATTTTCCCTGTAGCATTTATTTCCATTTAAATTAAACTGTGGTGGTGCAATGGTAAGAATGCAGTACTGCAGGCTACTTCTGCTGACTGCCAGCTGCCTACAATTTGGCAGTTCAAATCTCACCAGGCTCAAGGTTGACTCAGCCTTCCATCCTTCCAAGGTGGGTAAAATGAGGACCCAGATTGTTGGTGGCAATATGATGA